CTTAGACAGTATGGGTAACTAGTAATTCCGGTTGTCCCTAGAATGTATCTTAATAATTAATAAAGGTACCAACCTGACGCAAGGATGAGCTAGCATTTAAAAAAAAAAAATAAAAAAATTAATAGTTAATGATCATCGGGCCTTACTTTTTAAGGTGAGTGGACGTTACCGTACATACTGAAAAATTCATCTTCACTCGGCTGTAATTATGCAAAATGTATGGTTATCAGATCCAGTGACCAGTGCAAGTGTACGACGCACGGTACTCTCCAAAAGTATATTAAATTAAGTTCCTCAAATTCTAACCCCCCAATTATAATACACGTCAGCCAATAAATATTCTTTTGGAGGATACTGTACTTACAGTCATGCTTCTCACATTCTCACGTAAGCCCTTATGATCCGGAAATATCGGTCGAGAATTTTTTTCTGCAAGGACGCCACACAAACGCTACAATAGGAACGTCTTCCATCTGTTTAGAATTAAGATAAAATTAGTAGTAATTTCCGATCGGAAGTTTTCGCAACTTAACCTGTGTACAATAAGGTAAACAAGGTAGATGCGAATTTTATGATTAATAATATAATAATTATAATGTATATCTCAAGAGTATCTACATGTTTTGCAAAGTAATAAATATTTTTCCTGGCAAAAGAACAACGAATCGATTTGTCAGTCATTTCAAATAACGCAAATTTTATTTTGTATAAAGGTGATTTATTTATGCATGAACTATATCTCATCACTTCAATGAGAATAAATAAAAGATTATTTTCAAATTGTATCTAGAGTTTAAGAATTAAGACAGATACTGTATATTAGATAGTGTAAAAACTTTAACAATATACTGTATAATAAAGCCTAATTTTCTTTAAATATATTTAATAATTTGACTTACATTATTATATCATTGTCGGCATTACATCTCCGATAAGATAAGGGTTTCTGGCTGCGCGCATATACGCGAACTTTAGACATTACAAAAATCACAGCCACAGGGAAGGTCATGTGCGCCACACTATCTATGCCACAACTCCAAATTGAGTAAATCTGCAGTTAGTAAGCTCATTACATTCTAGTTGCAAAACTTGTTTGTTTTTTTTCGTTGATCTACATTAATCAAGTAATACCAATATTTCTCATTCACAATGAAAATTTAACTGTCTTCGTAGCTTAACGATTTTGACAAGCCCCGAAACATGTCTCCAAGGAAGCATGTAGTTGATAATTATCGCCTGAAAAGAATTCGCGCAGGAAAGCTTTTGGGTACGCAAAGATGGAAATGGAGTTATAGGGTAGTAGCTGTGCGCAAATAAGATGAACTGGTACGTCTTTGTAAAAAATTCTCGTTTCCAAAGCTTTGGGAGATTATGCGTTTAGGTACAAGTAAGAAACTCTTTACCTCATGTGGGTTCAAAATGTCCCTCCACGTGTTAACAAAGAAAACCGGAAGATTGTTCCGAAAAAAATATTATGCATTGTTGTTTTTAGATAAATAATATCATTGTACCCTAATGGAGTGGGAGGACCGTTGCCAAATATGAATCGACATCAGATTTCCAAATTTGTATAATGCTGTATGCACCGATCTTTTAGTTGAATGTAGTTGATCAGTCGAAAGATATGCTGTACGTTCTTTGGATGAAGTATTCGGAGTTCTATTTCCCGAGTTTCCCAACTGCTAAGTGCGACGTGTCCCGAAGTTCTCCTTGTTGACTGAACGTAGAGAATTATACTTACGATCTCGAAGGGATTTTATTTTAGCTACAAATTAGGAAATTATACAGTACTGTATATATACATTGTATTATATCTCAATTCGTTCTATATGATATACAGTAAAAGGTGTCACGTAGCCATTGATTTCTTCTAAACATTTAACATGAAAAAGAAGCATTTGTTCGACCTAAATAGAACTTTATTTTCAATCACTTCTGCATTGGAATTCAGAGCATTATTATGTGGTACCAAGCATACAGAATCGTCGCGACAGATGGTTTATAACAATCAAGAGTACATTTCATGCTCGAATTTTCCCTCTTGTTTACGATATTTGAGCGAGATGTTGCTCACCAACCACAATAAGCCGCATCACGCGCATCATGTGCAAATTGACCCAATGATCGATCAATAAATATTTAAAGATTTGAAATTTATTAAACCCGTAGTAAAGTATTAAATGAATTTCAACTACCGGCACAGAAAATCCGTCCTATGCTTATCAAATCGTCACATCTTTCTTGCATTACTTATCGAGTTACGATAATAATTTTATAATTCTTATTAATTAATTATATTGTGCGCATGTACTTCATTCCACGAGATCTATATAAGAGTAAACTTTATTGTTTACTGAAATATCCGGTCTTATTCCGTTGTAAATTCAACTCTCCCCCTTTTTTTAAATATAATTCCTGACTGTTAACCTTTTTTCTTTTTTTTTTTTCTTCAGAAGATAAACTTACTGTAGTTGTTCACACCACACCACAAAAATTATGTCCTCTGTATACTTTTCAAAGGATACAATCATGCCAACTTTTAAGTATGGAGTTACCTTAACAGAACCTTCTAACTCCATATGCAAAATTTCGTCCGACTTATATCATAAACACGATAAAAAACTTGATTACAATGACCTAACGAAGAAAGGTCGTAATTACTGCCCTCAATATGGGGAAGGATTCCGCTCCCCCAACCTCGGCTGTGGAAAATTGTCGAAATCTAGAACTAATAATTCACAAACATTATATGAGAGGTTGGAGGTCATGGAGAAACAAGTGAGAAAACTGAAAGAGGAAGTTTCATCTACAAAAGAAAAAATCAAATACTATGCTCTCAACAAACTAATATTGGGCATAGCTATGCATTATCCGACGACAAGTAAAGAGATTATACAATTGAAAAGGTTGTATTGTTTGATTCGTAACAACCAAAATGACCCGAACTTTGTTGAAAAGTGGTTCGACAATCTCATGAATTGGTTGATGCTACTTGAACCAGGCTGCGAAAGAGAACCTGTTAAAGATTCTTTCGATTGTCAACTCTGGAAAAACATTGATTCGTTGTTGGAAAGTTACGACCAAAGTTTTTTGCCATCAACCATTCTGACCTCCTCACCTTTGGTCTCTGTAAATCCTTTCGAATTTTTTTTAGATGATTTATGTGTTTTTACAAACTCTTCACTCTTTGAAACCAGAGTTCAAGATATCCCTCTCGATTTTAATTCCATTGATTACAATGCGGGAACCCCATCGACACAGATGTTTCAGGAAGCATTAGACGATAATATACAACAATTAACGGTCGAAAATTTGTCCTTTCATTTCAAAGGAGTTGAACCTGAACAAAAAAAAACAAATTCAGAGAGCAAAAACACAGATAAAGTCAATAATAGTGATAACACTTCAAAGGGAAGCAAGAGAAAACGGAAACAACAGGATTCAATTTCAAAAAGAAGAAAAAGCGATTCAAAACCTAAAATTAGGATAATATACCCTCCTCGAAAATATACAAATGTCATTTTTGACCAAAAAGAGGAAATTGTGGAAACGGAAGAAACCAACGTTCAGCATCAATTAAACGAGGCGAATTATTCCCGAGCCAGCAATATTTCCGAAAATACAAATGCAAACAACTTTTCAAATAACTTAAGCAATGACCATCTTAATAATATTTATGCACCTTATTATTTAATTAACTTCCCTGGTTTCGAAAATACGCTTGAATTCATAAATTATTACTGATAACGACATGGGTATTTAATATTCTCTTGATGTTGTTCGCATCTTAAGAAAAAACTTCCATTTCTCTAAATTTACATTGTGTTTATTATTTGTAAGTTTAACGAAGGAATCTAATGCAATATAAAATGGATTAATTTAAGAATACTTCAATTCAAATATCGAATGGACATTTATTTATTCTTGCATTGAACAATTCTTGTTTTCATAATCTGAAAAACGAAGATACAGTATATTGCGTGTTAAAAAAATGATGTGCGACGAGAAAGAAATTACTCGCATACAGATATGTCAAATCTGAACACAGAACACGCCAAATACGCCACATTAATGAGAGTGGGCATCTAAGTGTAACATCTCATAGAACGCCTATCGTTACGCACGCACGACCATTGTTAATTAAAAAAAAATTATTTTTTCTATTTTGAAATATAATAAGATTAATATACTGTATCGTTAAAATATAAAAATTATTGTTATTGAATATTATTAAATGGATTCAAATATTTGATTTTTATTAAAAATATATTTTTTTATTGTATTGCATATTAATCCTATATTATATATTATGTCTATAATTAAAAGTTGATACTTATATAATTCTTTTTACTGATCTTCTGATTATACTATATACAAAAAAGATGTTTTTCTAAAAGTTTTTTTGACTTTTTTGACTTTTTGATTAATAAGGTTTTGATTATTTTTTTTTAAAAACAACTTAAAAGTATATTTAAAAAACATTTTTATCTTTTTTTCTTGTTTATAAATCTTTTTAATTAAAAATTTGACTTTTAATAATCAAAAAAAGTAAGGTGAATATCTTTATTATCAATAACAAAAAAGTTTTCAAAAAAAAAAAATAACTAGTTTTTTTTTATTTATTGGCAGTCGGATCAATATAATTTGTTTTTAACTTTCATATACTAATTTATTCATTATCAAAAAACTATTTTTCTAGATAAAATCTAGAAAATAATATTTCACTCTTTTGTTAATTTGAAATATTTCTTAAATAATAAATTGTTGTTTATAAATCATTACTATAGATCATTCTAAATTTTGCTTGTAGTTAAAAATCAAATTATTTTATTTTATAACAAATTCAATTATTGATAATTTCTATATAATTCTTTTCTCATTTTTTTCTACTGCTTTTTAATTTGAGTTTTCAACTAAAAATAAATTAAGTTCTTTATAGTCTTGTGTGATTTATCTCTTGGGCTTGTATCTAGATTTTTTAGATTTTTTTTCTTATTTAATAATATTTAGTTCTTTTTTCCATCCTATTACTTTAATATATTAGTTATTTCAAATTTTCTTCTTGAAATTTTTTATATTTTTTAGTAAAATTTGCTAATTATAGTCTGAGTGGATATTGAAAAGATTTTAAGTTGTTTTTAAAATAACTTTTCATGAAAATAATCTTGTTTTCTTTTATATATCCACAAATAATATTGTTGAGACTTCTATCAGATTGTAATATTTTATTTAACCAGTTTTATATTCAATTATTAATTATGAATAGAACTTCCTTTTTGTTCTTTATTTTTTTTACTAATGTATATATATTATATTCTATATTCTATTCTTGGAATCAAAACTTTATAGATAATATATTATATATTTTTTTTTTATTAATTTCTTTTTATTTATTGCCTATATTATTGCTCTAATTTCAGATTTTATTAAGTTAATAGTATTTGTTTTGATCTTAATCAAATACTTAAAAATCTTACTTAATTTTTCTTACTGATTTCATAAATTATAATGTTCTTTATTTCAAATTGGATAGTTTTAAAGTCTTGCAAATTTCAATTAATAATAAAAAGAATAGATTTTTTAATATTGATTTAAAAATTATTGACTATGTAAAATTTTTTTCTCTCTTTCAAAATATTCTCTAAATCTTTTTTAGATTTGACAATCCAAGTTATATTATTTATATAAGTAATCACAGCTTATATTAAAGAGAGTTTGATTTTTTTTTTAGCTTTGAGAAAATGAGATAATCATTTTTATTTATAAAGTAATTAAAATCAATATTACTTTGAATTTTGCATAATAAGGAATTATAAAGATTCTCTATAGTGTGAAGAGATTGCTTCTTTCTAATTTATACTATCTTTTACTATTATTAGATTCAAGAGTTTATTAAAAAGAATAATACTATAAATTTAGTTTTTAAAGATATCTATTATACTTTTCAGAATCTTATATTGTTTATATATAATTGATAATATATTGATAGAATCCTGATAAAATATTTTCTATCTATTTCTAAAAGAACTATAGATCTTATATTATTGGATTTATAGTTTCAAGACTTGAATTTAAGAATAAAATACATATTACAGCTTTTTTATTTTTTGGATATTTGATCAATAACTAAAACTTAGTTAAAAGGATAATATAATATTTTTTTTTTGAGTACTTGTAGTCAAGCCAAATCATCAATTTATTAATCAATTGAAAATATAAATATATTTTTATTTAAGCAACATAACATATACTAAAGCTAAACTATAATTCTAATCTAACTAACTCATTATATGCATAAAAACCTCTAAGTTCAACCTTGAGAACAATATTTCACTCCACAGTATCTTTGGATAAAAATTCTTCTAGTCCACTGCATTATTGTCAGCAAGTTGTTACTGTTGTATCTCATATCAAGTCACTGAAATATAGAAAACTACAAAAGGATAGGTTAAAAAAAAAGAAAAAGAGATATCTAAAAATATCCAAATAAATAACAAGAAAATAAAAGAGTAAAAATTGAAAAAATATTTTTAACTATCTTCAAAAAGCTGCTTCTTAAGATCTCTTATCAATAAAAAATATCCAATTGGATAATTCTTTCTTTTCCTAATTGTTTGAGAAACTTATCTATTCTTGATTTTTATTTTCTTTTTATGTACTATCTAAGAAGATTTATTACTTAGTAGAAGTCTTTACTTCCAGGACACACTTGATTTTCACCTTTTTTGAACAATGATTTTTTATTTGCTTATAATAGAGAGATAACTTATGATAAATCTCAGGTTCTTATACAGTATAATTCAATAGGAACTAGGCCATGTTGTTTCATTATAATACTTATCAATAGCCATGCCTAGTTAAAGAAATTTTACTAATATATATTTTCTATTATCCAAAAGATCAAATTTTTCAACAATTCTTTTACCTTATTATAGTAGAAGGGTTTTAAACAATGATAGAAATTCTTGTCAATTATAATATTTTTCAACAACTTCTGAGAAAATGTATTCTCAATTGTAATCAAAGGGTTGGAGCTTAATATGGATTAGAGACTATTTGATTTTATTACCTGACTGGAATAAAAAGGAGACCTTGATCTTGAACTTTGCCTAACCAGAATGATAGGAGAGAAAGATCTTAGCTCAAACAAATAGTAGCATTTTTACTATCTGGAAACTTGTTGCTTATATATTATTGGTCTCATCAATAAGTTAATCCAATTGAAGGAGTGGATAGGACTGAAGTACCAATCAACTTTTTTAATTACCAATAATATTATCAGAATATGTGGATATGATTAATAAGAGCTTGTTTATATTTTATTACTAATATGTTTTATATTAATCAATCAGATACAGGTGATATTGAGCTACCAGAAATTCCAGATCAAATTGAGATAAGCAAAATTTCTCAAAAAAACTATGAAAAACAGTAGACACTTTAATAGGACATAAAACAATATGTGAGAAGGTGAATAATAAGCCTTCTCCTGTTAACAAAATCTTTATTTCTTGTTACTTTCAATTCTATGAAATAACACTTCACTTGTTAGTTCTTTTATTTCCTAGAACTTTCTTGTCCTTAATAGAGAAAATATATACTTGAGTTATTCAAATCACTAGAGATCTAAGTTTTTATTCAAAGAAATTTATGAATAAATAAGGGAGGATAGTAGAATAAGTGAAGACAAGCTTCAAGTTGTTTTAATAAAAGTATAAAGACTTTATTAGTAAGAAAGTATATAATTTCTTGTGAATATCTTTTTTATGTATAATCAAAAGATTAGTAGAAAAAGTTTTGTTTAAAAAAAATGATATAATGTTGTTGTTTTTTTAGAATCTAAATATTTAAGCATCTTATAACTAATATATAAGGAATTAGCTATCTTATTATTGAAGAGACATTGCAAAGTGGCTTCTATCTTGATTTTCTTTATTAGTAATAGGCATTATTCTAGATTGATTTATTTCTTGGATTAATATTTTCTTTTTCACAAGATGTATAAGCTTTTAAAATTGGTATTTCTTCTTTTGAAAACTTTTTAATAATAGTTTTTTACTATATTTTTGATAGTTTATGGATTGGTAACTATATATTTTACTTTTTCTTGATTTATAGTTAATATTCAATCTAGAGTTATTTTTTATCTTTTCTAATTTAATACAGTGCTTAGTATTTATTTTGATTAATTTTAAGATCTTTATACTTATTATCTAATACCTTTCTGATTTGATTTTTAACAAAAAGACTTTCTTTTTTTTATATATCATTTCAAGAATATATTCTATTCTAATAATATTTTTCAATTGTTCTGAAATTTCTTTTGTATCTAATGTTATGAACCAAACTAGTAAGTCTATCACTAATCCATAGCATTTTGCATAACTCAAAAGATCAATAATACTCATAACTAATACTAAAAAAGAGAATGCCTTCTATAAAGAACATTTAAGAAAAATAGAGATGTAATAATTGATTTTGCTAAAGGTAAGTGTTTCTTTATTCACATTTTGTTTTTTTTATATAATATTAATTATTATCTTTATTCTTAATAAGGTCTATCTTAGCATATTTAGCACTGCCTTCTCAGTTTATATTGATAGACTATTTATACTTTTCTAGCCAACAATGGACTATCTACTTTATAATAGGCTATTTTAACTCTAAATTTTGCTAAACTTTTCATACTCTGTCATATATATATAGTTCCCTTATCAGTACCTAGACCTCGCTCTATAGTTTCTTACTTGTATTACTCAATTTTTCTTGTCAGACCTTTATGTTTTTAGGTTTTAAACTATTATATATAAATTACATTATCTATATAACCTCTGATACTAGAAAAGAACTAGTTTTTGATTAAAAATTTTCTTATATAAATTGTTTAAGTTTGTAATAATCTTTTTTATATAGTGTAGAACCATTGTATTTCAATTTTTCTATATTTCTTTAGTAAAAAATAAATTTTGTTAACTTCTCTATAGGCTTCAAAGTCTTTTTTTTGAAATTACTGATTTTGCTTTAATCTTTTGATTAGTAATAAATAGATTTTTTTTTCAAGTACTTATATACACTTTTAATGATTATAACTTCAAGTTTGTATCA